ATCATCATCACCATCACCATCACCATCATCATCAACTCCTACTCACAGGGTTGGTTTTCTCAACATCAGGGAAGTGAAACTGGACCTCAGCACTAGTGAGGTCAGCAACAGTTGCAGAGGACTCTGCCCCCATGTCCCACCATCCCAGATGTGCACCTGTAGGGCTGAGGATTTAGCTCAGTGGCACAGTGCCTCCCTGGCAAGCATGAGGTTGTGAGTTCGATTCCTGGTACTGGAAAAAAAAAGTGCATGCCAAATATGCACCTGTGACCCTGTTTGCAGTCCTACAGCCAATGCACTGCACATCCCCAGCACAGATGGGGCAGCAAAGATACATACACCAAGCAATCAAGAATTACAGGCTTCCCTACTACAGTCACTTAAATTGCAGGCATACAATATATTTTTATTCATTTGAGTCACTCATTTATATATTCAACAAATATTTATTGAGCACTTACTATGTGTGAGGGCCTAAGCTTGGAGAGAAAAACTGAATCATAGGTGCCAATGCATGCTTTAAAGAGGCACATTAGTAAGTCTCTAATTCCCATCTCTGCTACTCTTAATATGAACAATCAATCAGAAGGAAATCAGTGGGTGAAAGGGCTACTTTGCCCTTTAAAATGCTGAGAATCCTCAAGATACGAGAACCCATGGGTAAATAAAACAAGAATTAAGAAACCTCCAAAGCAACTGAGGGCAAACAAGAAGATAATCTTTTGTTTTTAGCCTAGGTACTAGGAAGAATGCAATGAAAACATGATGGAATTGTGTTCGTTTTAACTGAACATGTCTTGTTGTTTAACTAGAGCCCTCACTGTAAGGTACTTAGGGCTACACAAAATAGACCCAAAGGTATAGATAAAGTCATATGTAACAATGTACACATTAATAATGTAATCCAGTGGGTAAAAGTCATACCATCATCATTACCACAAGCACCCCTTTTCAACTTGCTCCTCTGTTATTTTTATCACACTGCAGGTGGGAATGGTAGCAGTTGTTTAGATGAGCCATCCCTAGCCAGCAATTCAGGAAGGGCTCCTTTCCCTCTACCCCTAAGCCACCATCATGCCAAATTCACGTTTCTGTGGATGGAGGCAGTACAGTGAAAAGATGCAGAAAGCCTGGGTTTTTTGATCAGAGACCTAAGTTGGAAGCCTGTCCCATTGCAGCACTTCTTACATGCATCATATGGATAAGTTCTGTAAATGAACTAACATGTGCATAATGCCTAAAAGTTTGTCTGGAATAATGCATGTAGGGTACCTAATTTAGACCTTAACATACAGAAAGTATTGATAAATATCAAGTCACTCTGTCTTACAGATTTCCAGAGTTTCCAACTCTCTAGGTGGTCTACTCTCTTCTTGGCCTATTTCTTCCTATCCTGTTGGGTTTGCTATCTTTTCTGGACAGCAAATTTTGAGGCTAGTTCTCACAACAGAAGATGCTACATATCTGACTTATTTAATATATAAATATTTATTAAGCACTTTCTATGTGCAATGTGCTGTATTAGAGCCAATGTTAGATACAAAGATGAATCACGTCACATATCAACCCTGCTTATAAGAACTTTGTAATTTAGGAGGGAAGCCAACCTTGCAGTGCAAAGTAGAAAGTGATGTATCATTTAAGAAAAGTAGGTAAAGTGTAACTCTGAAAAATAGGAAATTATTTCCACGTGAAACTATCAAAGAAGACCTCTTCAAAAGGGTACTAACAAAAGGAGGTTTTAAGAATAGAGTTTAGATATGTGAAGATGGTTGAAGAGAATTATCAACCAAGTTACCATAGAAAAGAGAATGAAAACAGGAAAGCAAAGGGTTTAAAGAAAATTCTGAAAAGCTCCTATGTCCAGAATAAGGGATGAGCAAGGAAAAGATGAAGTTGAAAGGGAGGCTGACATCAGACTGTATAGGACCTTGAAGGCTAGGGTAACACATCTGGAAATGACCTGCAAACAATGAAGTCTGTGACAGTTTAAGCAGATACAACAGGATTGAAATTCTCTTTATTTGTTGTTCTACCTGAATAGCCAGGGCCGTCCTTCACTAATGGTTTTGTGGTCTCAATGTCTAGGTAACTTGGCAGTGCTCCTTCCAAGGTCCTTCAGCAGAATTCCTACCAATTCCATTTCAAAGTGCTTACTCCCTTTCTAGTCTGAATTTTCTGAGGGAAATCATGCTGATGTCATAAATGATTGGCACAATCTGAATCCAAAGAAGGTACAAACCTTTCATAACCAGCTTATAATTTCTGCTACTTATCCGTGCTTCTGTTGATAGCATTATAATCACTCATCTGCTCCCAGGAGAGTACCCATTCAGAATTTATCACTACAGGTGTACAATTTTATAAAACCAGCAAGAAAACTTTCTGCCATATTAATAGATAGTTCTCAAGAGGAGACAGGAGAACCTAAGTGCATTTCAGAATTAAAGGGAGAAATGTCACCAGGGGGGAGGGATCCCGGCTACCTCTTAAACAATTTTAAAACACTACAAACTAGAGTGAACTTCTGCAACCCTACAGAGGAATATATCGTGCATATTCCAATCACGCCATTTATTAGAAGTGATTTGTTATTAGTCTCCTCATCTGAACAATTCAGTTTAGTCTGAATGACACACATCACCATTTCATTTCTTCATCCTATGCACAAGGAAAATGACAGCAAATGTGGGAGTAGGGGACAGATGAAAGAAATATGAGCAAGGAAAAAAGCAACTGAGGAGGATGCAGAAAAAAGTACAGATGAAAGAATGAGCAGGAGAGAAAAGACTAAACCCATGCTGGTGGGAAGAATATATGTTCTGCCTAATTAACAGTATACATAGCCCAGGGCCAGGTGTGGCTGAATGAACTGTCAGTGCCAACTAAATGTACTGACAGTGCGCTAGGGGCTAGGTGCTGAAGATACAAAGGTTTGGCTCTGCCCTTAGCCAGCTCAAAGTTTAGATGAGGAAACCGATAACAATGAAATCACAACACACTATGCTGAAATGCTTAAGAAGCAGGAGCTGTTGAAAAAGCTTTGAGAGCCCCACAGGAGAGGATTCTTGAGAAGTGTTCTATTCAGGTGCCTTTAGGTAAGTCATGGAGCCTCTGAGAACCTCCTCTTAAAAGTGATTACATCTGGTGCCAATCTCTAGAGTTGTTCTGAAATTAAATGAATTCATGGGCGAAAACACACTCTGCAAGCTCGTCCTATGCCCTGGCATGAGATGGCTATTTCCTCTGCTCATTTGAGCCAGGGGCCTGTTTGGTACTTTGTGCTCTGGGTACCAATATTATGGGCTGCACACTGACCCCCCTTGCTGGCTTCTCTGTGTCCCTCCACCATCCTACACCTTAGCACGACCTACACAGCACACCCACAAACACACAACGCAGAGAACAACAGGAAACACTCACCAACATCAGGTTGCCTCCATCCCCCTGCCCAGAGAAAGCAGCATCTTGCAGGCTGGGTACCCACGGACAGTCTCTCAGCAGGACGTGATGGTCAATGCCTCCGCCTCCGCCCCTGCCTTCCTCTCCTCTTCACCTTCCCTTCCCCTCTTCATCGAAGCTTCCCCAGCCTGCTTCTCTGTAAACGGTGTTTCTGTTTTCTCTTTTCTCCTCCTCCCTTGGTTGAGCAGACTTGACCAATTTCTCAAATCTCCTGGGAGATGCCCATGTAAGGAACAGAGGAATGGGGACCTGCTCCCACTGAGGCCATGACCCTGGGAACCCACACTAGGACTCTGCCGCTCACCTTCCTCCCCTCCCCCTCCCCATTTCTCTCTCCCCTTTCCCTTTCTTCTCATTCAGCCTTCTCTCCCAGTCCTACTCCCCTTTCTTTCCAGGCGACCCTAACTAAACCCACGTCCCACTTCTCGCCTACTCTCTTCAGTCTCCCTCTCCTCCTTCCCTTATCTCGGATTTAGGGAGCGCGCGCAGGGACCATGGCGAAGTTTCCTGGGACCTCTGGCCCAAGACCAGTGGCTGCTCCGGTCTCTGCTCGGCAGCCGATGACATCACTGAATTTTGTGAACGCGATTGGCTACTTCGGGGCTCTCTGGCGCGAGATCCTGAAAAGATTCGCGCTTCCAGTTTCTTTGTCCCTCCTCCTCTTCAGGTGGAATTGGGAAAATTGTTCTCTGACATTTTTGTACCTAAAGAAAAAGTTTAGGCGCTACCTACTGGAAAAAGAGGTGGCCCCTCCAGCCCAGGGTGAGAAAGAAGGGGATTTTGTTGTGCCAAACCAAAGAACAGAGTCGGTTAGGAGAGGGGCTGAGGGCTTAGAGGGAAAACATTAAGAGAATCTGAGACTCCCAGAGGGTGTAAAGTCTGCGAAAGAGTTGTGCGGCTTCCTGCCCTGACCTTGAGCTCTTTCTTCAATGAGCGTCTCACCAGGCAACAGAGCTTTGGATTGGAATCAGGCACTTAATTTCTAGCTTTTGTTCTATCTGTAGGAGTTTAGGTGTAATCATTCCCCTTCAATCCTACAAAATAGAAATGATCATAACAGAGTATGTATTTTTCAGGTTTTGTAAAAGTATTCAATGTGAAAGTATATTCTTATTATTAAACCTGTAGTACTTTTAGTAGACAATATGATATTTTAAAAGAAAAGAAAAGATAAAAAATCCTGGATAAGAAATTTTAAAAATCTACAGTTATCTTTGATTTTTCTATAGTGACTTCCACCAAGTCCCTTTAGTCTTCTGGGATTCACTATCTTAATCTATGAAGTGGGAAAGCCAGAGAGATGATCTTTTAAGATCTCTTTGGCTCTAACATTATGTGATAGACCGATAAAATTTAGCATCTTCCTTTAATTCACCACTTCAGAGGAGAAATCACTTCCTTTCTCAGCACTAGAGTTAATGTCGCCCCTTTCTGTTAGGGGGCACCCCTAGCTTCTCCCACACCCCCATAACAAAAGCATAGACCCAAACTGTAGCAGTATGTGCAGGGCTCATCCTTGATGGAGATTCTCTCCCCAGGCTACTGGCAGGAGCAGGATTTGGAGCTGGGAACTCTGGCTCCACTGGACGAGGCCATCAGCTCCACAGTCTGGAGCAGCCCTGACCTGCTGGCCAGTCAAGGTGAGAATCCAGGTGCCTCATCTCAACGTTCCTCAGATGCGCTCATCCTCACGCCATCTCCCTTTCATGTGCCTCCACCTGTGTCCTCACTTCTCTCATTGCTGCACAGCTCTTTCTCCTTCCCATTCGACATTTAGTTCTTAGCTTGGCACTACCACATTCCCTTGTCCCTACCTCTCTTTCCCTCGCTCTAGTATGGAGACTTTTGTACCTCTCTGCTTCATTCCAAAAATAAAGTAATTCCAGATGAACACATATTCTCAACACAGAGATTCTGGAAAGATACAGCCAAGGAAGAATTCTTCAATAGGAGCCAGAGACAAGGGGCTGCCAGCTAGGAAGTGGTTTATGGCTGTGGCAAATGAAATATTTCCCAAACCTTTGACTAAGACATTTCAAGATTATATCACTTCCAAGTTGACTCAGCCAGCTCTGTCACTGGTTCACTAATCTCTTAATTCCCAAGTTAGAAGATGACTCTGAGAAGAGTTCCAGCATGAAGAACACTGCACTGAGAGACAGAAGAACAGAGTTTAAGTGGAATTAGGAGAATGAATTTAGGCAGTCATTTCACCACTGCTTTCTTTCTGCCTACGTCTGTAAAGTGACAGAGTTGGATTCCATGATCCTTAAGATCTCCCTATGTTCTAATCTGTACTATTCTAAATAGTAAAACTAGACACCAGGCTCTGTACCCCATATTGGAAATGACACCCTGAAAGGCTAGTGCTTGTGTGGACTCCAGTTCCTCAGGTTCACTCCTTGAGGCCTCCCCTCAGCCAGGACTGCTCAGTATGTACCTCTGGATGGAGTTCTGGTGACTAAGAAAGAAAGGGATAAATGGACAGAGGATGGGTAAAGTGGGTACCAAAGGGAGCAGTGGGGGGGTTTACCCCACTCAGTTCAAGGAAAGTAGGAAGTAAGTTTCTTGGTTTCCTATCTCGATGTGAACGCTGTTAAGTAATGTGGTGATGCAGAGAGAGTTTGTGGGTGTTTTAGAACCAGGGTTAGAAAGTGTTTACTTTAGATTAGTTCTGCAGAGCTCAGTGCTGTTGGGACACAGAAAGTCAGTCTGAAGACAAGGGAATCGATACTGAGAATCAGAATCCATACTGTGGGGAACACGGAACAGGACTGGGTGAAGAAAGAAGGTACTGGGGTCTGAGGGGCTCACAGCTAGGTTTCACTGGAAGGGATTCAAAGGATTCATCCATAAGGCACCTCGTGAGTCTTTTTTTTTCTGTTTTGTTTTGTTTAATTTGACTAGGGAGAGGGTGGGTAGAAGACACGCTTTCATCACATGGAAGGGAAAGCTGTAATCCTTCACTGTTTGATACGTTATCAGAATAGTGAAGTGGGTTCGTGTGCTGGGAAGCGGGGAGGGTGGCTAAAGGAAATACGCAAGGGATTTGACTGAAGGCAAGGTATTGTTAGGAGAATTGGAAAATGTGTCAGAATGTTTCCATTCTTATTTTTTGTTTGTTTGTTTTGCAGTTTTATGAGCTACCTCTTATATAAATGAATGTACAACCCAAGGGCTAGTTTGGCCTTTTCCCCGTTTTAGTTTTGGGGTTATTAGTGAGAACTGTTTCTCTTGTTTATACTGTTATACATAGGTGGTGGCAGGAAGGCAGAACATGGGATATCAGATATGCTTGTGTGTCCTCAGATATAAATGGTAGAACTTCATCAGGAAAGACATGTGTACACTAGTAGTATGTGCAGTGTTGGGGTGCCCTTATTCATCATGGGGTATGTGGTCCTGTTAGTCATTCCGCAAGCATTCAACAAGTAACTGGTTTTCTGTGTGTTCAAAGCAAGATAAAATAAGGTCTGTCCCCTCTCTGCCACCCCCAAACATCACCACCACCTCTTTTCTTTTCCCTGTGGAACTTTAAGAGTACACAAAGACCTTGCCTACACCAGAGTCTTGTATGTTCTGAGTTAGATGAGGTAGACTTTGGCCCGGAAATGGTCACAAGTGCTGAAGGTACCTCAAACTCTAACCCTCTTCTGATCCTGCAGATAGTCAGCCCTGGACGTCTGATGAGACTGTAGTGGCTGGCGGCACCGTGGTGCTCAAGTGCCAGGTGAAAGATCATGAGGACTCGTCCCTGCAGTGGTCTAATCCTGCCCAGCAGACGCTGTACTTTGGGGAAAAAAGAGGTAGTATCCCATGAGTTGTTTCTCCCCTTGGGAACCATGGGCTTGAAAGAGGTGCTACAGAACTGGAGTGGACTGCCCCTGCAGGTCAGAGCTTGAGACACATGGAGATATCCCTACGTGAGGAAGCAGCAAGCCAAGGGCTCACCAGGAACTAGATTCCTAGAAACTTTAGCGCTACAGCTCCAACCTGGACCATGCACACAGGCATAGTCCTACAAGGTCCTGGAGTGGCTTCACCCCAGACAGACGCCCTCATAGGCAGCTGACATCAGTGTTGCCCTTGGCATCTCACAAAGAAGCGCACAAGATCTGACCTACTTTTCTGAGTATCTTTCAGGCTTCTATGCCCAGTGGCCCAGAAAGGTCATAGAATGACCTAAAGATTGGTCAAACTCAGGAGCAGATTTTGCCTCCCCTCCCATCCCACTATAACAGGACCCCTGGCCCAAAGATACTGGTCTGGGGCTGGAAGATAGTGTGAAAGATGTTAATAGAAACCTGCTTTCTGATGCTCCCACTTTCCCCCAGCTCTCAGAGACAATCGGATTCAGCTGGTCAGCTCCACTCCTCATGAGCTCAGCATCAGCATCAGCAACGTGGCCCTGGCAGATGAGGGCGAGTATACCTGCTCCATCTTCACAATGCCCGTGCGAACCGCCAAGTCCCTCGTCACTGTGCTTGGTGAGGCTCCCCGACCCCAGGGTGTCCAACAACATGCTTCTTTGCAAATAGACCTCCCTAGCTAGGCTCCTGAAAGCAGAGCAAGTCTCCAAGGATTTGGGGAAATTTCAGCTTGCATTTCTCTTAAAGTGGGATAAAAATGCAAAGAGAACTGAGTTTAAATCCTCTCTCTTATGTTTGCTGCTTGATACGGCACAAACCTCTTGCTCTATTTAAGCATGGACTTCCCAAGTGGTACTGAGGACTGATCCTGTTCATTCCACCTGTCTCCCAAAATTATGTGAGGGAAGCATGTGTGTTTGCTAGGTGTAATTCTAATTTTCAAGACAACTGCCCCAGTTGCTCACATGCTCCTATCTCCCTGTACTATTTCAATTTCTATCTTTGCTTCCTTGAGCATCCCACTATTTCTGTGCCTACCCACTTGTGCTCTTGGATGTCTGGTCAGGTACTGTGCTTCCATTATGACACATTTCCCCACAGCCAGGCCTCCTTCCTTTGGCCTTCCCTCCTAGTCCTCAGAGACGAGATCAAAGGGAAAGATGATTTCTCTAGCTTATTACCCATCTTTCTAAGCCAAAGTAGAACCTAGCTGTCCTGTTGCCTAGTGAGACCATCTCTACAGGGAGAGCCAAAGCGTGACCTCATGGTGCCTCTCCTTCCTATTCTGGCCATTCCATATCCATGGCAGGAATCCCACAGAAGCCTGTCATCACTGGTTACAAATCATCACTACGGGAAAAGGATACAGCCACCTTGAACTGCCAGTCTTCTGGGAGTAAACCTGCAGCCCATCTCACCTGGAGGAAGGGTGACCAGGAACTCCGTGGTGAGTGCATCCTGCCTGCAACCTACAGGATGAGTTGGTCCTGGGAAGACAGGTCTCTCTGTGTGTGTATAAGGCATGGTATAGAAGGAGGGAGGGACAGATACTTTGTGTACACTCATGCATATCAGGGCCTCCATTCTGCTTGGGTGTATATATCCCTTTCATAACTGCCTAAGTTTGCCCCAGTTGAGACCCACCATCTGTGTCTACGGTGGGCCCCTCACAATACCCGTATGTTAGGGCTCACTCTGTGCATGTACATGTACATGTGTATGTGTGTGTGTGTACATGCACGTGCATGCGTACGTATATGTATCTGACTGACTGTCTGTGTGTCTGTGTGTCTCTGTTTCTGCTCTCCAGGAGAACAAAAAGTACAGGAGGATCCCAACGGGAAAACCTTCACTGTGAGCAGCTCAGTGACATTCCAGGTTACCCGGGAGGACGATGGAGCAAACATTGTGTGCTCTGTGAACCATGAATCTCTAAAGGGAGCTGACAGATCCACTTCTCAACGCATTGAAGTGCTGTGTAGGTCATGGGCTTTGGTGGAGGGGGACCAGGCATGAGGTGGGGGAGTGGAAAAAAGGAAAGCTCAGGTGACGGCCCATGAAGCACTGTGTGCAGCTTAGTGTATAGGTAGAACATGGGACAAGAAATGACAGGCCTTGGCTAAGAGCTGGCACACTCTGTAAAGGGACCAGTAATAAATACTGTAGGCTCAGAGAGTCACAGACAATATGCAAACACATGAGCTGGGCTGTGTTCCAATAAAACTTTATTTACAAAAGGTGCAGCTGGCAGGATTTAGCTCAAGAGTAAGTTTACCAACCTCTGGACTAGGACAGTGTAATGGAGCTAGACTGTAAATTATAGTGGTAACTATAGCAAACACAGAGCCCATCATGGACTATCTAGTTTTACTCCTCTGTTAGCTGTGTGATGTTACAAAGCCTACTTTCTCCCACTGAGCTTGATTTTTTTATTTGGGAAATAAGAGATGAACATGGAACTCTCTCATGCTTCTTGGTCTTACATTCTATGATTTCAGGAAAGTACTCATGGAAGGAAAGCAGTTTCTCTGGTTTCATCATATATTCCTAGATCTTTTCCCTACAAAGCACTCCTCTCTTTGCCCCAGTTCTGTGATTTTCCTTTGGATTCTGACCTAGACTGGTCACTGTCATTACCATTACTCCCAGCGCTTCCAAGGACCTTGCTCCCCTTGATGCAATCTGCCTTTCATATGAACAGAAACTTCTGAGGAAATGGGGAAACTTGGAAGTTTCTTACCTGAGGAAATTTGAAAATTTTCAAAAACAATTTTTCTGAATACTGGAAACAAAAGGGAAAGAATAAAGTACAAAGGCAGAGGACAGAGAGTTATAACGTGAGGCATTTACTGTCCTAGCTTTCAAAATCTCAGATAGTTTTCAAAAACAGCTAAGACCCTTAGTTTCCATTTTATGGAAGACCCAAGCTGATTACTCTTCCTAACTTCAGTGTCGTTTAACCGACAGCTAGGCCCATTACTCAAGCTCTCACACAAGGTAGACGTGGGGCAGCCTCACTGTCTGCTCGGCTGACTGTCAGTCTGCGGCAGCGCCCGGACTCCAGCCGCAGTGCTGCCACTTACAAGCTCTGTCACGTTGGCCGAAGCGTTTAATCTCTCTGTGACTCCTGCATGCTTCACTGAGTTATCCTGAGGGTAAATGAAACATTATTTATGAAAGAACTCTGTAAACTTCAAAGTTGTATATTGCTATAAGGTATTCTTTAATTATTAGTTTTGAGTGTGAGGCTGCTAGCCTTGAGCATTTCTCCTCATCCCTGGTCCCTGGCTGGCAGAGAAGGTCCTTCCACATCTGAGCTCCAAAGAGTATCTGACGGTTACTTCCCAGGGACCCTTTTGGCCCAGTTGTGAGCTGAATTCAGTCAACAAATGCTATATACTCTGGGCACTGTGCCAGAGATTTCTGTGACGCTGGGGCCCCCAAACACCCATTCCCTTACCTGGTCTGACTTTCTTTGTCCTGTTTGATTTGACTGGACCACGTTCATTAACTGGTTGTTAAGGTTGGCTCTACCCTTAGGGAAAGCACAGCCTCTTTATCTGCTGTCCTAAACCAGCATCTGGTGGTATTGTTCTAAGCCACCATCTGGCCCTACCCTCCCAAGCAGCCCTTTGGCGTCAGTGGCAGATGCCATTATTCCTTTGCAGAGCCCATCTATATTGTGTCAGGGCTTTTTTTGCAGCCAAAATATGACCCCCATCTCTTGCTGTTTCAAAGCTTTCATTGCATGTTTGCACTGACCATTCAAAGTAACGTTTTGTGTTGAAGTGTTGCTCCCAGTTCTAAACTCCCTCACAGAGCAGACAGGACTGAGGGGTTGTGAACTCAGCCAAGTGTCAAGTCTGGGATCCTTTGTTTTAGGACTATGTGTTAGGGCCTGTCTGGCCCAGGCACTTTGCTAGGCACAGATAAACCACTCATTCCACTTCTTAGCCTGTGAAGCTGTCTACAGGCTCCATCAAAGACAGGCCTTCTGGGACTCTGTCCTTAGGAGGCTGAAATACAAGTTGCTCACACATTCCGCTGCAAGGGCTGTCTTTGCTCACCAGAGCTATCAAGAGGAAGGTCTTTGTTCCTCTTGGGCTCCTGAGACACTTCAAACAGAAGCTGTGGTGTTGAAGTAGGTAATTTCAGGATGTTAGACATCTCCTAAGCAACATGGAGAGTTTTGTGTTCACAGCATTCCCTTCTCCAACAGACACACCGACTGCAATGATTAGGCCGGACCCACCACATCCCCGCGAAGGCCAGAAGCTGTTGCTACACTGTGAGGGTCGCGGCAATCCGGTGTAAGAAGATCTGCCTGCTCGCCTTCCAGACACCTCCATACCCCCAGATGGTCATCTTCACTGAGCATCGTCTTCCCATCTCTGCACTGTCTGAGCTGAGCCTTCTACCTCCCAACTCTGTCCAACAATGTCTATGCTTTGTTTTTTCTTCTTCAAAGTAGCAGATGGGTGGCACCCCTAGCTTAGCACCTTATGTTTCCCAAAGGAGCACAGTTACAATGAAATATAAGTTAGGAAATCTATACCTCCTCTAGAAGGATCTCCAGAGGCCACCCTTCCTCTACCCCTGGATAGCTGAGTGTCTCTGGCCTCTGCAACTTCCCGAGCCTCATCAAATAGGTTTTATTTCCCTGCTCCCAGTTTGTTCTCCCTTTAGTTCCCTGGCCTATGCTCTCCTGAACACTGCTGATTTTTCTACCTCAACAGCCCCCAGCAGTATCTGTGGGTGAAGGAGGGCAGTGAGCCACCCTTGAAGATGACCCAGGACAGTGCCCTCATCTTCCCCTTCCTCAACAAGAGCGACAGCGGCACCTATGGCTGCACGGCCATCAGCAACATGGGCAGCTACACGGCCTACTTCACTCTCAATGTGAACGGTGAGCATCTCCCAGCATTCCCCTCACTGTCCATTCCTCACCCTCATCCTCCCACTTCCTGGTAGCTTCTACTCACCACAACCAAGAGTGGAGCAAAAGGATCACAGCCACCAAGAAGGGCCCTGGGGAGTTTGGCCCACCCAGGAATGTGTAATAATGAAGGATCAATAGAAGGGAGGGCTCTCATCCACCTTTTTAAGGACCAATGGCTCCACTGGTGCCATCTTGCATCCTGGCAGTCACCTGACAACAAGAATAGGAATTCTGCACTTGGAGGTTCCGGAGCCTCTCCACTGCAAGTGGTCACGCACGCACCTTGCCGATGGGTTGTTCTCTTAGTTCTCTTCCTAGAACCATGTGTGGAATGCATGCTGCTGCTGTCTTTCTCTGAAGACCTTGGAAACACCATACTGTGTTCAGGCAGAAAAAAAAGAGACGATCTTGAACTGTGCCTAAAGATGGTCAGATCCTTCTCAGAGGAACCAGGGGACGCTCCTTCCCTACAGTCCTTCTAGAAGCTAGAATGACAAAGCACAGCTTTAGGAGAAGTGACAGGCTCACATGCAGTGGTCTTTATGCTGATATATGATCCTGGTGACAGTGGTGTCCTGCTAGAAAGTTTTACAAACCTTTTCGTAGCCTAGAGGCAGTGACTTGTGTCAGGAACTTCAGGGGTTCCCTGATTTGAAATGTCCATTAAGCAAGTAGGGGGTTGGGGGACCACAGCCAGGCCTCCCTGTGACACGAGGCTTGAGTTCTTGGGACCAGAATGTCTAGTTTGGTGATTCCCACTGCAGGGGGCGAGCTCAGCATGTAGGAGCTGCCTCAGTACAACAAACAAGGCTATTGTAAGATGCCAGGAGCAAGCACAAAGCACTGAGGTCTGGTCTCTGCCCCCAGATCTCTCCAGACCAACTGTGCTGGTGATTGGCAGTAAGAGAAAGTTCTCATGCCTTGCAGTTGCTATCTTGCTGATCTTCCCCCTCTTCCCTGTGCTGAAAAATCCAGGGAATTCTGTTTGACTGTGTCTGGTGCCGGTGCTGACGCCTGGTGGTAGAAAGAGTTACTGCATGTTCTTTCAAGAGCAGCCTGCCTGAAAACCTGCCCAGAATGAAATTAAATTAACCTGCAGACGGAACCTGCTAACTGATGACCACAGACGTCATTTTGGCACTGGAAACCCTTACTTTTCTAAGGAGTCTACATTTATATGCCCTCTGTCATGATTATCCAGGGCTAACTTTCTGTATGAGCCTCATCTCTAATACTCCCTGGGAGGGAAACAGTGTAAAAACTCCTCCCACTTGACCTCCTCCAAGTTGTTCTATCACATGCTCCCCAGCATCTTGCAGAAGACCTGGGCCCCTCCTCCCCTCCCTCCCAAGCAGAGTAGAGAAATCCAAACCACAAATGTTTTCTTTTCAAATAAGGCATACACAGGGAAGGAACTAAAAAGCTGGCCCAGTCAAGCCTGAGAAAACATAAGGTAGGAAAGAAAAAAATACAGAAGGAGCCAATGAGGCATCAAGACTCAAGCTGAGCCCAAAACAGCAGCTCTCCCATGGGTGGGAGAGTCCTAGCTATGGCTAATGTAATCTTGGTTTCTTCAGAGCTATGTCCTGGGTCTGTGTACTTGTTTGGAAGCCTGGTTGCCTGAGGAGAGCTGGGCAGTGCTTACCACACCTGATCTACAGTCTATGCTGATCTACCACTATGGAGGGTAAATACTGTATATTCAGTGACACAGACAGCAGCCATCCTGGGAGAAGGCAGCTCAATCTTGGTCTATAAACCTTCCATTGTTGGCAAAGGGAAAATAGAATTCCAGCCCTTCTTGTTGGGACAGGGTAGGGGTTTGGGGTTTTACCGATAGAGGATTTGGGGTTTTCTGCTAAGCAGGAACATACAGGGTCACACGATCTATCATTTTTTGGTGAGATGCTGTATGCTGTCCAGTACCTAGTTTCTGACTCCATCAGCTTTTCATTGCTCCTTCCCTACCTGATCTCAAGCCAGTGGGTAGAACTACCTCCGAACACCACGCAGACCAGTGGACATGAGAGGTGGGAAAAGAAAACTCTTAATAAGGCACAAGTGAGAGAAGGGGAGGGGGATTGGAAAGAAGCATTAAGGTAACCATCTCTGATCAAGGTCAGGTTACCCTACAAGGTCAAGGACTCTACTTTGATGGTTGAGTGGGAGCAGATTTATTTATTTATTTATTCATGAATACGTCAACTTGTTTAATAATTACTACATTCCAGGCCTAGGGCAACAAACTGCAGCATAAGCTAAGGCTTGCTCTCTTGCTGAACGTAGCCACTCTTTTCTCCCCAGGGTGGTGCCCATGCTGGGCTGTGTGAGAGTATCGGGAGCCAAGCCAGAATGCCGAGGTAAGGCTTCCCCCCAGGTCTGACTCTCTGCATCCCCCCTCCCTGCAGACCCCAGCCCGGTGCCCTCGTCCTCCAGCACTTACCATGCCATCATTGGCGGGATCGTGGCTTTCATCGTCTTCCTGCTGCTCATCCTGCTCATCTTCCTGGGCCACTACTTGATCCGGCACAAAGGTGAGAGGCCTGAGGAGGATGTGGGTGGGAGACCGGTTGGGGACAGGGGGGAAGAAGGCCGCTGTGGGAAGGATGTTTGGAGACTCAGTTAGCCCCGTGGTGTGTTTGAGAGAGAAAACACCAGAGCCAATCAACCCCTTTCGTGCCCACCGTGTGATAACAGCACCACCGACCCCGCAGCGCAGCCTCTTCACTTGTGGATCGTCCCAGCGCAATCCGGCTTCCCACTCAGGCAGCTGCTCCTGCTGCTCTGCCTCCAGGGTCTCTGCTGTGATACCAAAGGCTTCTGAATCCATCTCCAGCCCCTTTCTTCCCATGTGGTCTTTTCAGTCTGTTGACCCTCTTTCCTTCTTTGATCTTACTCCCTTTCCTCACTCTACCTCTTTCCTTTCATCTCTTTCCCTTTTTTTTTCTTTTACCTTCCTGGCTATGTCTCCCTTGTTCTGTCCTCTTGGACTTTCTGCTCTGTGATGACTCCCAGCCAGCAGCCCGGCTGCATGGGTTGGTCAGACAAGAGCCAGATCTCCACTGCATTGCTCTGGAAGCTGACGTCACCATTTCCCCATCACCAATTTGTGTACACACACACATGCACGCATGCACACACACACCCCTCTTTTTTCCTTGCTTTATTGTAAATGAGATTCTAATTCAGGACAGCAAGATCCATTACTCCCAGGGGTGTGGTCAGGTAAGGAATATTGGCAACAAAATGCAAATTAGGCAAGGTGGGCTGGAAGAGAGCTCCAGACAAGAGAAAAATTCGTGAGCAGTTGTGAGAGTGGGTGTGCTAGAAGTGGGCAGGCTAGACCTCAGAGGTTTAGAAGCTGCTCCTGAAAGGAGGAGCCTCTGTCTCCACACAGGCACCTACCTGACACACGAGGCAAAAGGCTCCGACGACGCCCCGGACGCGGACACGGCTATCATCAACGCAGAAGGCGGGCAGTCAGGCGGGGATGACAAGAAGGAGTATTTCATCTAGGGGCGTCTGTCCACCTCGTGCGCCCCCCAGGGGCCCCGTGGGGACTGCTGGGGCCATCATCAACCCAGACTTGTACAGAGCGACCCCAGGGCCGCCCCTCCCGCTTGCTCCCCAGCCCACCCACCCCCCTGTACAGAATGTCTGCTTGGGTGCGGTTTTGTACTGGTTTGGAATGGGGAGGGAGGAGGGCGGGGGGGAGGGGAGGGCCACCCTCAGCCCTTTCCGTGGCTTCTCTGCGTTTGGGTTATTATTATTTTTGTAACAATCCCAAATCAAATCCGTCTCCAGGCTGGATAGGCAGGCGCCCTGGGGTAAAGAAAGAAAAAAACTTGTGAAGTTAGGAGGAGAATGAAGGTGCAGGGGTAGGAGATGGGTAAGGAGCAGGGCTGGTTGGAAGCAGGGGCTCTACCCAGCCCTCCCATTTATCTACCCTCCACCGCGGAGCAGCTCCCCAGACTTCTCCTGGAACCCAGAAGAAACAGAAGGGGTGTGAGCAGAGGCTGGTGGTGGCTTTCTTCTGCTAGCCACACCCTGCGAGCTGCGGACAGGGAGACAGGTGTGATCCTGGCACCTCCTTCCATGCAAATGGGATGGGGTGAATGGGAAAATCCCAGAGAAGATGTGACCCGCACAAGGCATGCAGCCCAGGTGGGGACCCAGGGCTTCAACTGAGGGAGGATGTGGGTCCCCTTGAAGAAGCTTAGATGTGGAGAGAAAGGATGGTGGATATGGCTCTTTCCACCCATGGCCTCCAGGATGAATGAAGCCAGGCCATTTTCACAGAAACTGCCCTGGGGGACAGCAGAGCTTGGCTGCCCCTCCTAGCTCCAGCAGCTGTGGGAGAGGCGCTGCTCCGGGGCCTGAACTGTGTCTGCTTCCCCTGCCGCCGAGGGGCCCCTCCCTCCTACCCAAGACCCCCGGACTGTTGCACGGCAACCACTCCTCTCATGGCATTGCTCAGCAACTCTTCCTCCAACTTGTGCCACCTGCCCATCCCCTCTCTGTCCCCCACACCAGCCCTCTGTCCTTCCTCCCTCAGCAGCCAGGCAGACATAACAACAACAAAAATACTAAAAGGAGCTTCACCGCACTGAGCTGTTTCCTGCCCAAACTAAGGGAATAATGTGAACTCCGTGCGTGCTTGTGCGTGTGTGTGCATACGCGTTCGTGTGTGTATATGTGCAAGTGTTGTGGGTGTATACAAGTGCGTCTGTGAGTGAGAAGCAGAGAGCAATTAAAGAGGAGGGTCAAGGACCAAGGATCCTGGGCAGGTGGACTGGTTAATGGCCATGTGATGGAGCGGAGGATTCCTAGTCAGGGTTCATACCTCACCTGAGATGTCACTCCATGCCACCCTCAAGGCCCATCTTGACGAGGAGTACCAGGATGTGCTTTTGCCCAGGTGTGCATTTCATCTCTCCCTGAAACATACAGCATTCCGCCCTCCCCTGCCTTCCCACCTCCACACCGTGGAGTCAGTGCCACCGCCTTTGCTATGCACCCCTCAGGCCTCTCCCTGGCACTGAGCCTGGGTTTCCCATCCTCTGTACCTAGAGGGCTGGGTCCCAGTCCCTGCTTTTGGTTTTCTGTCTTCCTTCTTGTGACGGAGCTGGTTGCCGTGGAGATGAGGTTGCTCAGCCTCCCCACCCTGCTGGCCTGCCCACCTCAGATCCCAGATGCTCTTAGCGTCTCACTCACCTGCCCCAGCATGCCCTCCCTGCTCTGACAATGGGCATGCAAAACAGGGCAGCTGCAGGCCAGCAGCTCTGCCCACTCCTTCAGTTCAGGTAAAATACCCTTGAGAATCTTCCAGCCCCACCCCGGGTAGGGCCCTGGGCACCACATGCAGCCCCTCATCTAAGCCAGGGCCTCCTCCTCTTGCAACAGCAAGGGAGCCTTGGGCCCCAGGCCTGTTAGGCTCCTTGTCTCCCAGCACCCGCTTTTGGGAAAAAGACTTCCTCTTTGAGCTGAACCACTCTGTCCATATTACACAGAAGCCATATTTGTATGGGGGGCGGGGGGGAGAGGGCAGTTGTGCTGTGTGTGTCTGTCCATGGGTGGGGGTGGGGGAAGGGAGCAGGGATCGTGTATCTTTATAATCTTTCTAACTCTCCTGTGCTAATCTCAGAGGGGCCACCCTCAATATATCTGGATTATTCGTGTCGTTCGGCTGCCTCCTTTCTCCTGCTCTTACTGCTGCCAGGCTGCATGTACATAAAGGCCATTCTGGTATCCCTGGCGCCAGGCACTGTGAGGGATGCTGTGTTCTTGCTCTGATGCTCTTCTATGAGGGAGTAAATGTCTGCACCCCCTTTCGCTGGGTCCTTGCCTTCCAGAGAGGGTTTGGGGTGGGACAGCTGACTGGATGCTGAGATGGAAGAGGAGACACCAACACTGCCCAGGAAAGACGGCTTCGTAAGCCTTTGCCAAACTCACCTTTCAGCCCCCTTCATGTTGAAGCTGAAACCTGAGCTGGCATCCTGGGAGAGAAGAGGGAATTTCTACAAGGTACCCATCCTTTTGCACCTGGATCTGGGGTGCTGTGCCGCAGGCACTCTTATGTGAATGAGACACAAAGTCCTGCACAGAATTGGTGTCAAAATATCTCTTGCTTTCCTGAAGGGATGAAGTGTCTCCTCTCCTACTCTACCTCGTTGTTGCCATTTGGATACTGAGCTCACCTCTCCCAAAGTCCAGGCTACATCTCGGCAGCGGCAGAAATAAAAGGCAGGGAGGGGCCAGGCCTCAGCTGAGACCCTGGGAAAGCAGCAGGGCATGGCCACCAAAGAGCAGAGCCGTTGGCTCAGGGGGCCTGCAGGACAGGTGCCATTTGTGTCTGCTGGCCAGGGAAATAACAGACGCCCCGCCTAAAAAAAAAGTCTTCCCATATTGCTAACACGCCAGGCCAATGAAACAGCTGCAGAGCCTTTACGTCCCACAACAGAAATATGAATAGAGATTACCTCATAGGCAACAGTCCCATTTTAAAATATGCCAGCCCAGGGTCCCCCAGAGCCTACTTTAATGTGTCAGACCATGTGTTCTGCTTGGTATGGGAAATGCATTCACTGCGCCCATAGGTGGTGAGGCAAATGCCCAATCGCTCCCCAAAGCAGCATCATTCGGCAGTCTTGACAGCCCCCTCAGCCTTCCTGCCCTCCCTCACCGAAACACCCATAATTCTAGATAGCAACACACACACAGAGGCACCGCCTAGCACCAGACATTCAGATGTGGGTACACTGATACACAACACAGGCACACAGATAAACAGGTACATTCTCCCTGCTCTGATACACACAGAGTTCCCGCCATGTACACACCCAACCGCAGCACCGTTAACACACACCTTCCCGCCCAACCCACACAGGCCTTTGACCTCCTTGCTTGGATCCTGTTCAAAGGGATGGGGAAAAGTCACAATCATCAGCCGCCTTTTCACCCCAATTTCCCAGCACCTTCCTTATCTCTGTCTTAGCAGTCACCCCTGGCCCCTCTTCCTTCCTCACACTTGCAGAATCCTCTCTTGCTGGGAAGTAGTGGTTTCTCCCTTTCCATCTCCCGGAAAGTGCCTGCTCTCTGGTCTTCTCTGTGTTCCTTTCCTGAGACCCTCCTGAGCAGTCAAAGCTAATCTCAAAACAGGAAGGCCCGGGGTTGGCAGCCCAGGTTGACCCGAGGCTCAGGCAGGCAGTGGGTGTGGGCTAGGGCTTCCTGAGTGCTGCCCCATGGCCCTGCCCAGAACCTGAGGGCTTCATTAGTCCTTGGCGCTTATCGAGGAGCAACAGCTGCTGACAGAGCTGCCAGTCCTCTCTCTGCCTGCCCTGCACCCACAGTGCCATGGGAAACTGCCTGAACCAGGTGAGTGTGGGGTTGTACTCCGGAGCCCCTCAATTCTTTGACCCTGGGTGTCTCAGGTTGGGTCTTTATATCTCTCCACTTTCTCCTCACCTCTTACCTCTTCCCTTCTCTGCCCCCACATTTAAAAATCTCCTTCCCTTCTCTCCTCTTCACCCAAGTCTCCTACGCTGTTCTTTCCCCTGTCCTGCTCCTTTCAGCCAGTTCCAGGCAGATCCCTCCTTACCTCGCCCTCTGTCCCCCAGCTCCTCCCTGGCGTGCCTGGCACTCTGCGTTGCTCCAGCTCCTCAGTCTCCCTGCTCTGTCCTTTTCCACCATCCCACTGTGTCCTTGTGCGGCCTTCCCAGCTCTCCCTCTGTCCCCTCTTTTGCCTTCCTTGGGGTCCAGGAGGTCACTAGATGCCCTGATTGACCCCTGTGGCTGCCTCCAGGTCAAGCCTTCCTTCTCACTGGACAAGAATGGAAGTCTGTTTGATCTTGGAGACTATCAGTGGAATTATTCCTTCGAGAACACCACCTATGGATCCCTTGAAGACTACAGCTCACTGGATTCTGCTGCCCCCTGCCACTCCTGTAACCTGCTGGACGACTCCTCACTGCCTTTCTTTATCCTCTCCAGTGTCTTGGGTATTCTGGCCAGTGGAGCTGTCCTCTTCGGGCTACTTAGACCTCTCTTCCACTGGCAGCTCTGTCCCGCCTGGCCTTTCCTGGCACAGATAGCTGTGGGAAGTGGCCTCTTTAGCATTGTGGTGCCCATCCTGGCACCAGGGCTAAATAGTTCCCAGAGCACTATCTTATGCCACTTGGGCTACTGGATCTGGTATAGCTCAGCCTTTGCTCAGGCTCTGCTGATAGGGTGCCATGCCTGCCTGGGCCCCAAACTGGGCACAGGCCAGATCCCAGGCCTCACCCTGGGGCTCACTGTGGGGCTTTGGGGAGTGGCTGCCCTATTAGGATTACCAGTCACCCTTGCCATCGACACGACTCCTGGGCCCTGCACCCTGTCCTACAGCAGGGGCCTGGATGCTCTACGGTCCACACACGTTGTGGCCTGTTTTGCCATCTTCAGCTTGTTGCCTCTGAGTTTGTTGGGAGCCAAGGGGCTAAAGAGGGTGTTGGGTAGGGGTCCGGGTCCCTGGATTGACATCCTGTGGGTGTGGTTCATTTTCTGGTGGCCTCATGGAGTGATCCTGGGGTTTGACTCCCTAGTAAGAGCCAAAGTCTTACTGTTGCCAACATGTCTGGTCCAGCAGATTCTGGATCTGACGCTGGACCTGGCTGAAGCCCTGGCCATGCTGCACTGTGTAGCTACCCCTCTGCTCCTGGCCCTGTTCTTCCACCAAGCCACCCAATCTTCCTTTCCTTCCCTGCCCCTCTCTGCAAGACGGTCTTCTCATCTGGACAATGCTGGAAGCAAAACCTAGTTCTCCTCCCACCTGTCAACCTGAAGTAAAGTCTATACTGCTTTAATAAAGTGGATAATTTCTTATTTTGTTTGGGGATGAAAAGAAGAGGCAAGAGAGTAGAGAGAGAAAGATATTTTGTGCTAGTTTCCTGCTGGCCTCTATTACTTGAGCTGGCCTCCAAGAGAAAGTGAATGACTTATAAACATCCTCAGGGCACACAGATGTTCGCTGAGGGGTGAGGTTACTGCTTTCCCCAGGATGGAGATAAGAAGAACCTTTTGTGCACGGCAGAAACTAGAAGACAAGGGCCAGGGATATCGCTCAATGGCAAAGAGCTGGCCTGGCAAGTGCAAGGTCCTGAATTCAATTCTCAGTACCAAAAAAAAAAAAAAAAGAAACTAGAAGACAAGGCTTCTTAACAGATTATTAGTGAAGAGAAACTGTGACAGAGAGCAAACAGAAGAGTAGAAACTGGAGAGAGAGACACAGGAGAATGACAATAAAACCCAAAGCAATAGTATCTGTCTGTGTGCAACCTGTCCAGCCACGCCCACCCTCATCTTCTCTTCTCTTTGCATTTATTTCGAGATCAGAATTTTGTAAGGCAGTTGGACGAATCATTCCCAGAGACTTTTCTTAGTCCAGGACGCAGGCCAAGATAATTCAGAAAGCAGTTTCCTAGGAGTCACAGGTTCACTCTTCAGCATGACCCCGGATTCTGTGTGTGTGTGTGTGTGTGTGTGTGTGTGTGTGTGAGAGAGAGAGAGAGAGAGAGAGAGAGAGACAGAGAGACAGAGAGAGAGAGAAAGAGAATCACACATTCACATATGCATCTGTCTTTCAATATTAAAACCCATGTCCATGTTAGATGCATGCACATAATGATAGATGCTTGAAAGTGAGCATCTCGCTCAGTGTCTGAACTACATGGAAATCTGTGCATCCTGACCTTCTTTTCCTTACTAAATTCTGCACCCAGCCCTGTTCTCAGGACAGGGAGGCAAGGTTTATGACTCACTCCTTACCCAAATGAGTGTTTTTAACCTGGTTTTGAGGTCCAGTTTTCTCTGTGTAGGACATATAGAGGGAAGCAAAGTCAAGAAGTCTTAAAAGGTGGAGACAGTTACAGAGGGAGGGCCTAATCTGATTCATCTCCTGCCTGGAATTTCTCAAATTTCCCTTTCAGGTCTTGGCTCCTGAAATAAGTCTTTCTTCCCCACATAAGTCTTCCCCACATACTTCCCACATTATACCCTAATATACTAGGCACCTTCTTTCCCAAAGGATTTTCTGGTTGCTTAATCATGACTGTGGAGGCTGTTCCTCAGCCCCTCCCCTGCTCAGTTTATGTGATGATTGGAAGTAAGTCTCTCTTCTTGTGGGACACAACCTCTATAGTCAACAAAAACTCACCCTTTACTCAGAAAAGTCACAAGAGTTCCTCCTTCCAACCCAACTATAGGCTGGGGAAGTTTGATCAAGTGCTTAGAGTCAGGTTATGGTCATTTTTCAAAGATTTGCTCTCATTAGCGTCTTTCCTAGAGTGACTTTGTGTGACTCAGTGGGGTAATAAGAGCATGCAGGAGGGTGCAGAGATGACTTATGATATCTTAGGCGGGAGGATGCAAAAGGCTTTTCTGGGTGGGTGCCTTAACAAAGCCTCTAAATCTCCCACCTCCTGTCTCTTAGCAACCACCAGGTTCAGCTCCTGATTGGTGCATCGTAAACTGGGGGGTGGGACTAAGGAATGGATTGAGCAGAGAGAGACATTCTGAAACAGAAAGAAAGAAAAAGAAAGTGAAGAAAAAGGAAATAATTTATAAACCTAAACTACACACAGGTCTTCAACCATAGTTGGCAAGTATGTCCTAGGGTTTAGGTGTTTTCTTTTATTTTCTTTCCAATCTCCTTTTAAAGTTAACCCTCCAGGCCCTGACCATTCTGACAATCCTGCCAGATGCTGTCCTCCCTTGCAAGGAACTGGATTTAGAGGTTGACCTAGTTGAAGGGGAGGAGGGGCTGTTTTGATTCCCTGAATCTTTCAGTGTCAACCTAATGCAAGGGAGGCTTACCTTAAGACCACTGTGGTCGTCTTATCCATTTCTACCTGTGCCTCCAGATAGAATCTCCTTATGGAGTCCACATAGAGAGAATTCAGACTACGAGGGAGCAGTGAGGCAGCTATCACATCCCTCACAAAGAAAAGGTACAGGCAGATGCCCACAGCGGATAAGAGGTCCGAGTGGGCTGGAGGCAGCATCCTCACAGTTATCTTCTCCTTGCTCCCATGCTCCTGACCATGCCCCTGCCCCTGTCCCTTCAGGGGCTGCCCTTTTCCTGCATTATCTATGCTGCAACCGGCTGCTTCTTCCTTAAGTCTAACTCTGACCTCAGTCATTTCTTTAAAATTTTCCCCAGGGACCTGCTACCCATGTCCATTTAACTCACTGCCCTCCACCAACCCCTCTGAGACTGATCTGAAGCTGATGTCTTTTCTGCAACTCTTGAGGAATACAAATCCTGTTTCCTTAGAATCCTTAAGAATTTAATCTGAAGGTTGGCAAGGACTTTAGCTGTATATGAGGCATTAAGCCTCCTGGCTAAGAAAAAAAAATCCTCTCAGAAAGATGAGAGTCAGAGAGGTAAGCTCTTGGGAGCTTATGGAGCCCTGGGGAGGGTTAATTTGCATTAAGGAAAGAGACTTGTTTCTTGAGGGAAGTTTGAACATCACATTGAGGCTTATATTTCGTATATTTCAGGCTGTGGCCTCTCTCTTGAGGGTTTAGGAAACAAATGCCCTATCCTCACACCCTTTTTCATCCATTCCTGTTTCTCAGGCCCTCATTCCTATATCCACTTTCTCCCAGGGGAATTCTGATGGAGAACTTCACTGGGATTTCAAACCCAATTCATCGGCAACTCTAATTGCCAAGGATTTGCATGAAAACCATCATTTGCTCTCTAATTATTCTGACAACAGCAGCCCGCCGTCTGGGCACAAGGAGAATCGCGGTTTTAATTAACAATAATGTACCTTGCAGATGAATGTGACTGTTTAGGTTAATTAACAAGTCCAAGTCCTTCCCAATCATCTCTAGACATCTTAGTGATTTGGGAAGCAGGGGTGTTCTGAACCTGGGAGGGGGCAGAAAACAGGGAGTTTTAAAGAATCGGCTCAGCAAAAATATGTTGACTCTCTTCTTTCTGTAACTTCATGAAGAAAGGCAGAGGGAATCTCCAGAACACCTCTGCTGGAGCGCTGGGTTAGAGGAATTTAGGAACAATGGTTTATTATAACAGGCCAGGCATCTATGTCACATTACATTTAGGAAATCTTGTAGACAAATTTTTATAAATGAAAGGACTAAGTCATTATAATTCTTGAGCATCCATTTTGCAGTTATTTGCAAATTTGATTTCTAGCCCAAGAGCCCTGGCTTCCCTCTCACTGCCGTATCTCTCCACTTTGTCTCTGTACACCCCTACAATATCTGGGGGTACTTAAATTTGCCTGCTCCTTAAGTTTTCCCAGGGAATGTCTCAAGATCCATCCACGCCCCTCTAAAGGGTAATTTTTATACTTTTCTTCCTGGGTAATTCTCCGTGTCCTGGAAGAATATCTTCTATGTAGCTTCAAATTGCATCTTCCATCTTTCTGTTGTTAATGGCATAAGCTTTGTGTTCTCTTTCTAAACCAGGTATTACTAATGTCTGGGGTGGAGAAGGAAGATAGAATACCTCCTAGAAAATATGATGAAAGCTATAGAGTCTGTTATATATATATA